CAATTAAACAAGTTGGTTCTGTTCTATGATGTTCAATAGCATTAAAAGTTACAAGGATTACCAACAGGGTGCAGCACTAGCACTATTATTTCTTTTACATTTATGACAACAGCAAAAGGTGAGTGAGCGTAGCGAACGAACTTCAACCTGGAGGCGAGTGAGCGTAGCGAACGAGCTAACCTGAAGGCAAGTGAGCGTAGCGAACGAGCTAACCTGAAGGAAAGTGAGCGCAGCGAACGAGCTCCTACCTAAAGGTGAGTGAGCGTAGCGAACAAACTTCAAAAAGAACCGAAATTTCTTAAACCATGTCCTCACTCATAACTGCTATAAGCATTTGATACTTATATGCCAACCCCGTACGAAGGACGGGTACTCTGCTAGTTATATATATAGATATAAATAAAATTACAGTTTTGTCTGTACATTGCTTAGAATCATGCAGTTTTTGGTTATTTTTTCGTTTCATAGCCTAAGAAAGCCGAAACGAGTCTTATCTCAATTTCTGTCTGTATGTCTGTTTGTTTGTCTGTTTGTCCATTCTGTGGTTGCGTCTGTAACACCAAAGTGTCATTTTACGCGGCCTACTCCTTGAAAACTAGAGTACAGATCAAGATTCCAATTATTTTTCTGTATTCACTGGATTGGCGAGAGTGTCTTTGGCTATAAAAACATGGCCTCGCTTCTTTGAAAACAAAATAACGAACCATCAAAAACCCAATTTTGTTCGATTTTTGTCAAATTTTATCACAATGTTTACTATTACTTTTATAAAATAACGATCAGCTGTTTGGATTAGTTTTCACTTCTAGCTGTCACTGATATGTTTACATTAAAAGTTGTTTACAAATACCGCAACCATTTCCGATCAAGCTTTGTTAGCATATCCAAACCAAGTGAGATTAAAAACGTTGTGCCTTACTTAACCGGTTTAATTAATCGCAAGTGCGACGATTGTTCTTGAGTTTTGATAACCGGGGAAAATACTGTGAATCAGTGTTGTATTAGTGCTGGGAAACTTACATTTTTTTAATCATAGTCACCAATAGCTTACAAAAAAGGTTTCCACTCATTGACGGCGCTTCAAGGACAGTTGTGTTAAGTTCAAAGTAAAAACGCAGAGGATACGCGTCCGGTAACCGGACGTGGATTAGGCGTCCGGCAGTTACTGTCATAACCTAACCTAACCAACCAAACTTGCTGATAATTAAAAAATCAAATGAAGGTTCAATTATCTTCATAACATAAAATTATAAATGCCAAAAATTCTAACAAAAGATGTACAGTTAAGAAGAAATTACATTCAAAGCAAAATCTGTGACAAAAATTTAAAGAAACCGATGGGTTTCGAACCAGGGACCTCTAGGATATCAGCCGAGCACTCCATCCACTACACCACGAACAACGCTGACCGAACATCGTATCGTTGTGGTAATGGCGTTCCGGGACCCCACAACCCGGTGACGTCACTACCGGACGCCTAATCCACGTCTGGTTACCGGACGCGTATCCTCTGTGAAGTAAAAAATCACAACTGTGGTGGGTGATCGTGGATGTTGCTGCGATCTTGGTAGATCTTTCTGATTTCTTACAGTACTTACATTTCGTTAACGATATCGGTACTTTTCCTACTTAAGAAGTATTCCTCCGAATATTTGCTAGATATATGTACCGATTATCGTTTAGAGATTACGTAATCTTTTAAATAAGAAACCTTTGTTAGGATAAATGTGGTTTCTTCAAACTGTCATTAATATTAACATTAAATTTTGCTTACAAATAATGCTATTAATGGGAAATAACTTTGATTTTCGAAAACTGAAAAAAACTAAGGGATAATTAATAACTTTGGTACTGCACCACATTTAGTGAAAGTTTTTTTGAGCAAACCATAGTGATTGTTTAAGCTTTACATTGTTAACGTTACATGTTACATGTTTTGTGGCCTGTGTATTTATTGAGCGGAGCGAGCGAAGCGAGCGAAGCTCTTTGGGATCAACTTCAATGCAAACAATATAACACCATCACTCAATAACGGCTGAACACATTTCAGCCAAACTTAACAAGACTACTTAGACTAATAATCAGATGGTTTGTAAACAAACAAATTTCAATTAGATAATGCTAATGCAATTTAAAACGAACTTAAAATTTAAAATTTTTAACATTGGGCTTATGGGACTAAAGTAGCTATGACAGTTTTTTTGTTTACAAGAAAAATGTAAACAAGAGAATCATAAGGTATTTCTGAACTTTCTATACTTTTCTTTTAAACGATTTTAAACCATTCCTATGATTTTAATAAACAAGAAAATGCCGTTAAAACATTTTTTTAAGGCACGGAATTCACTGAAAATCGAGAAAATATACTGAACTACTTTCTCAATACGCGGAGCATAAACAAGGAGCGGAGGGATACGGACCGGTGACTACTTTCTTGGGAACCTATTTGTGTTGCCAGCTGATTAGAAACAGCCAATGTTAGAAATCAGGATTTAATAAGCGATATATCGAACCGCATCGAAATCGGTATTTAATCCGATAATACCTCATAGGTTATATTATGTTTAATTACGTCGACGGTACAGTAAGTTATTACACTTATTGATAAAACGCAGATTGAACACTGATTTAGGCATGTGGGGAAGTAGGTCGGGGTTTATGAGTATTCGTGACTACATTAAGTGTTTTGAAGTAAGGTTAGATTAGGAAGGTATAGTGTAGGTTATAGGTAGGCGATCGGGTTGTTTATTTGTGTTGCACCATATAATTTTTTAACTTTTGGAATGGAATAGTTGGTTAAGGTTAAACGGGGAAACGATTTCAAAAATGCTTGCATATGGTCTTAACTTAACAAACCATCTACAGTATTCTAGCTTTGACTTTATATAAAGTCAATGATTCTAGCAAATTATTACATACTGACCAGAAGAAAAGAGAACATTTGGATTTGTACCTTTGACCATAGCAAAACTAACATATAATTATGGAATGTGAAAAGTTGTATATCATTATATACTATTCTGTAATATTAATAATTGTTCGGCAAATCCTCATTTTAATGGCTCGGCTGAAAAAGGAATCTGCATTTTGTAAAACAGTAATTTGGTAACAATTCAGTTATTTCAAATGTTGATAACAGTAGCCCATCCTATACAAATACTGTTATTTGATTGCCAAGCCACGGACTATACATACGTCCAGTTACAACCATTGATAAGTAAACCTGGGCTTATAGAAGTACACTTTTAACCACGGTATGGATAATTGTCTAGGCCTGTCCAGAAGTAGGCTACTAATTTCTAATTATATTATCTACATTGTATATTTAAGGCATGTCTTCCCTACTTATTATATTATTCTGTTTTCACTTAAATCAGCTGAATGCGATGTTTACTTATTACTTATGTTTAGGCCTACATTTCAGCCATTTTATGTTGCACGGTTGAATTTAAATGTCAAATTTCCCCTCCTGTTGTTATACTTTAATACTCGTTTTTTTATAGTTACTGTTTTTTTTATACTTAAATACTTTAACCGATTGTAAGGGTGAAAAATGTAGCCCAATGTTTTTTTGTTGTAGGCTACAGTTGCATTTTAATGTTAAATTACCTTTCTCATTTTTATACTTTACTTTTTGGATGTTAATATCAGATTCCAACTACTGTAATATTTTCCTGGTCAAAACTACCGTAATGCACTTCTCGAAGAGGTAAATTTGAGTTATTATAATTTTAATCTTTAAAACCAGCATTAGTAAATAAATCTATTGACCTTTTTACATTTAGTTACTTATACAAATATCAAATCACGTTTGTTCCGCTCAACTGGCTTTCACCTCTCTGAAAGCAACCCTAGTTTATTTATGTATTGGCCAACGGAAGAACCGGTGGTAGCAGTAAGAATCATTTTTACGTACAATCACATCACTATTTACAACTATAGTTATCGTTATTAAATTCTTCTTCTTATTAAATTTAATTGATGTCTTACTGTATAATATAAGATTTTTTTTTATCAAACCATCATGAATTTTTAAAGCTTGGCGTTGATAACGTATCAATGTTTTGTGGACTGTGTATTAATTTACTTATTTATATATTTGCCAACGGATTTACACACCAATTTTACAGTTTTGATTAGGCCTAAAGACGATTATCATAACATTTGATGACACTATCAAAACTTTCAAACAATTATTTTGTTTGTAATTTGCTTTGGTTAAAGCATAGCAAACCCCCTAATTCAATTTTGTATTTGTGTGTGTATGTCTGTTGGTAACGCATTAATGTCCTTATTTCTCAGTGTTTCGTGGAAAAGACAAGAGCGCCTTTGTTAATGAAAATTTCAACTCGAATAAAGTGAATTAGTGAGTCGGTGGCTCATTCGGTAGCGTCGCGGACTTCGGGCCGAAGGCAGCGATGTCGTGGGTTTGGATCCTGGTCACTGCCACTAAAATTTATCAGTACAGTTAGTTCACCTTTGTACTGTACCGCCTTGCTTTGCTGTAAACGTTCCACGCACGGGCGGTTAGTCTATGTGTGGGCAAATGCAAGTTTAAAAGAGGCCGCCAACCTTTTTTTTAACAGTAAAGTAGTAAAGTAAAGTGTGCAGTAGTGAGGTTGAGGTAGTATTTTAACTACTTTTAACCAGTGTCAAAAGTAACTTTCAATTGCAGGCCTACCTTAGGGCTATGCCTCATAGATCTATAAAGCAATTCCTATTATCATTAGATATAAAATATGGACTAACACGATCGGGTGACATTTAATTGCGAAGCATTCGTTTTGGCATTGAAACTGTCAGATATTGTATTTGAGAAGGTTTAAATGTATTCCTATACAGTAATAGTTTTGCCACCATATCTGGAAAAATGCACACTAAATATGCAAACCAACTCCTGTTCTGAACATAAGGTTTCAACTTACTACAAGGCTCCCGTACGTAGAACGGGCAAACAGCTAGTCAATGATATTTTTACTCAAATAATCAGCTGTTTGTAGCTGGTCCTGGACGGAGAACATTACTTTGAGGAGCTACTGAAGTTGTCCAGATGGGAAGACAACTACAACTACAGACAGTTGAGGCAACCTGTCAACAAAACAGACTGGCGGGAACACAGTAATGTAGCCATAGCCAACGCCTTCTACGATCCTCTGGAGAACTCGATGCGTGAGTCCCAGCTTGCTTTCTGATTCTGTTAAGAGTCCTTGGATCCTTAGCATAGGTATTGGTGTCCACCACTGGGAGCGCCATGTAGTTACAGCGTAGGTGCTACGTAACTACACGGCACTCCCAGCGGTGGATGCCAGAACGTAACACGGCTGTCAGTCTATATTTGCAACTTTTTGTATATGATCCCAGCTTGTTTTCTGTTAAGGCTTTTGTGGAGATGCTACATTAAAAGGCTTTGTTGTACTCAAGTTATTCTTTTTTAAACTCACGGATGATTTGAAAACATTATTAAAAGTTATTGAATGTGTGGAATTGTATTCTAATATTGCAAACTGAATCCATAATGATTAATTATATAGTGGAACGAACAGTCTTAGAACTATAAGGATGGTTTCGCCCAAATTTAAATATTACTTTGTTAAGTAGGTACATAAGACTGGCGGGAACACAGTGATTTACTCCAAGTCAACGCCATATACCTATTCCAAGAGAACTCTATTTGTGAGTTCCAGATGGTTTTCGGTTAAGGCCTTTGTGGAGACGCCACATTAAAATGCTTTGTTGGTATTCCATTTATATTCTTATGATATTACGGATGGGTTTAAGGTTAACAACGTGTATAATTAAGTTTTTACATTGCAAACCAACCTAAAGTGTAAGTTCTATTACTTTCCCAAAATCCCATATCCATCCCTTAGTTCTAATGTACTAAGTACAATGTCTCCAATGTATTTAACCCCTCGTACATATGGTCAAGAGTCAAGAGTATTTATTCCATTGATCTATAGCAATGGAATGATGGAGCAATGGAATGGTGCCCAACGTCTCTCAATTCTCATCTTCAGTGATACTTCCAGTTTTTGCCCAGTTGTACGTCAGTGTTAAAAAAAGTCCATACCAGCCCTGTTACTTTTATTTTTATGAGATTCGGGCTGGTTTATTAATTAATTTATGTTCATAATTCACACTTTCTTGCTCTAATTTTTTAGATTTAGCCAGCGAAATAATTTACGTTTTCCACAGTGATTCCAGCTGGCATTCTGCAGAGGCCATTTTTTGACGCAAAGCTGCCTAAATATGTCAACTACGCAGCGATTGGCTTAGGCATGGCGCACGAGATAACACATGGGTTTGACGATCAGGTTGGTCTCGTTGGCTAGTCGGAATTTTAATACTTTTGTCTTCCTTTGCCAATAGTTAAGCTCAAACTGTCCAACATTTTGCTTCTTTAAAAAACCTCGTTTTTTTAAGTAGTGTTAGATAAGGACAGAGACTCGCTTGGCTATCCAAATTTATGTTTTTCTGACGTCATCCTCTCTGACTGGCTATAAAGAACGTCCAGTTAAATCTTGGAGATAATAGAAAATATATTTTTGACGGGCCTTGAAGGTAGTGCTGTTAGCAGACAGCAGCACAAAATAGAAATAACACAAAAACTAGATTTTGAGAAAACTGTGAAGTGAAGTGGTCTACGTCGTAGGAATTGGAAAGGCGAGCAGTATGGAGTGTGGGAACCTTTTGTGTCAAGTTAGATTAAAGTAGCAATACTAAAATGGTATGGGAAGGGAGAGAACCAGGTCCACGACGTAGGAAGTAGTAAAAGCGAGCAGTGTGGAGTGTGGGAACCGATTGTGGCAGTTAGATTTATGTATCTGCAGTACTAAAATAATATCTGAAGGGAGGGAAACTGGTCCACGTCGTAGGAAGCGGTGAAGGAAGTAGTAAAGGGGAGCACGGAGTGTGGGAACAGTTTCTGTCAGTTAAATAAATGTATTTGTAATACGAAAATGCTATGAGAAGGGATGAAAACCGGTCCATGTTGTAGGAAAATGGTAGAAGCGAGCAGTGCGGAGTGTGGGAACCGTTTGTGTCAGTTAGATAAAGTTATATATAATACTAAAATGCTAAAAGAAGGGAGGGAAACAGGTCCAAGTGGTAAAAGTGGTTAAGGAAATAGTCAAAGCGAGCAGTGCGGGATGTTGGAACTGTTCGTTTTGTACAGGAACGATAAATTTACCACCTTAGTTCGATATTTGCTGGAAATCCACCCGAAATTGAGTCATTGACTTAGGTTGATAATTAATGGACGAGAAAATACTATTGTTGTTAACTAAACTGAGATTTGGTGGATTTGCCCATAAAAATAACAGTGTGTTCACCAGTGACACCGGTGAATGAAAGATTTAATAAAACAGCTCCTATGATCTACTATAATTTTACGATCGTAAAATTCCATCTCCTGTTTAATATTATGTCCTGTCACAGGGTAGCCAGTTTGACTTCAACGGAGACCTCAAGGAATGGTGGACCGAAGGCAGCAGGAATATATTCAACGAGAAGAAGCGATGTTTCATAGACCAGTACAGCAACTTTGTGGACTCCAAGACTAGTTTGCATGTAGGTAGTACTCAGTATACAGAGATCCCTACACTGTTTCAAAAGACGGTTTTTGGGAACAGTGATTGTGGAGCAGAGTCTTTCAGAATAATTACTTTCTGAGCCGTGCCTGACCACGCAAGCTCTTTTGGAGTTATGCTTTGTGTTTGTACAATGGCCGCAATACGAGGAATGCGATGAGCCCAAAATGATTTTAATACTGGCTTTGTTTCAGTATTAGTGTGTAGAATGTATTTTGGTGTCTAATATTTATATATGGCTCCAAAATCAGGATAGATACACCATGTTGAGAACGCACTGAAGCCCTACTAGACCTGAAACACACACTTCAAAGAGGCTTACAGATCATGAAAGTGCAGCGAGAAGTTAGTATCCTTGAAGTGTAAAATTAATTAGTATCTGAGAGATATAGAGTTTGGTCTTGAGGATAATTTCCACAACTGTTAGCTGGACGAGGGTTATGTATACACGTTCTTGTCTCTCGGAGCCGAAGAAATGTGCTAATTATTGTCTTATCAGCTAGCTTTGGGATTTGTAATATGATCCTAGAAATAGCCTCTTTCGAATTTGTTGAAGCTAAGTAAAAAAGGATATTTACTATAGACTATAGATAAAGATAAATATTGTTGCGCCTAAAGCATTACTGCTTTAGGTGGTTCTAAGATTGCCTAGTTGCTTTACCCGAGCTTCAAAGACCACAAGGAGGTATGCAGGAGAGAATAACGTGGTGTTTTAATCTACAGGAAAATGTACAACCAACACTAAATGTTCCTAAAACAAATGTCGTTTGAGGAAAAACAACTCAACTCTACCAATTAGATGTTACGAGTTTTCATATTTTTTCATCTGATATCATTTTGTTACTTATTTTAGGCCACGAATTTTAAATCGCATCTTTGTCGTATCTTTGTCAGACTAAGATAATCTGCCTCTTAGCTTGGGCCACGAGCTCAATAACATCTGCTTAGTTAAGTAACAAATCATCATTGACTTATCTGAGGATCCAACAGAACACTAAAACATGTCAACTTCATTATTACAGCTCAACGGCATCAACACCCAGGGTGAGAATGTGGCGGATAACGGTGGCATCAAACTAGCCTACCGAGCCTACCAGAGACTCAACCTAGACGAGCCTCTTCTGCCAGGACTGCAGAACTACACCCAGGATCAGCTGTTTATGCTCAGCATGGCAACCATATGGTGAGTACTGAAGTAAAAGTCAAAATTGGAAGTAAACAAATCATTCAAAAACAGCTAGTTAAACTTACTTGCAAATTATAAAGTAGCGATTACATCCATTTTCCGATAGCCGATGGATAAATATTGCCACGGAAAGTAACAAGATAACTAACAAGAAAAGCTCTATACATTTGAATTTTGAGTGCATGTTATTTTATCTAGGTGCACCAGATATCGTCCCCAGGCACTCAGGTTGCTGATCACTACAGATGTTCACTCTCCAACAGAGTTCCGTGTCAACGGTCCACTCAAGAACTTCCCTGAGTTCTCCAAGATCTTCAGGTGTTCAGACAATGATGCGATGAACCCTCGACATAGGTGTGTGGTTTGGTGACCTTAATTCTGCCAGGGACATTAAATGGAAAACAAAATTAGTAAACATATTCTGTCTGTTTTCTTTGGGAATAGTTAAACTGTCGCATTCGGTAACAGTTGAATGCTAATCAAAACCCCCAGATGTAATTAATTTACTTGAAATATTTTTATAATGGCATGATCAGATCTTTTAAACCTAAAAATCCATAAGTCCAGTACTCAGACCTTTAGTTAACAAATTAGTTTTTTCAGCTACATTCTAAGTTTCCTGCGATACTGGTCCACCAATAACATTTTTTGCTCCAAAATTAACTACGATTCCTAAAATGACAACAATAATCTTCCCTTAGTTTTTGAAAATACTGTACATGTTAAACATCCATAATCACATCTTACTCATAAAAGCATGAGTCTCTTGGGGGGGGGGGGGGGGGGGCGGTAATCTCTACAAGGAGTAAGATTTTTCTCTCGATACTAAGTTAAAAAATTTTAAAGTAAGAAATAAACTTCAGCATGAGCATATTCTCTTAAATACTCTTGTACGATGCATTAGCTGAAGACAGGTAAGTTCGATTCAAGCCTATATTGTTTAATATAAAAATAATAAATTCTAATACAATTAATAATCTGTTTGGTAATACTGATTCAACTGAATACAGCTGTTTATATTATGTAAACTACAAAAAGGTACGTACAAATTGTAAAATCTACCTTTAAATAAAAGTGAAACGTTAAGTTGACGCCAGTGTACTCAAACGTCACTAACACGAAACACTTAACCACTCTAATTATTGCTCTACATTTTATAGAAAAATAAGATTTTTTTAAACTTGGTAAAGTCAATGACAAAATTAAAAAATTATTAATAGTCTATCTCTAGATAAACGTCGTATTCCCTATCAAACCAAAGTGTTCTAACAATGCATTGTCTCAGTACTTATGGATTAACTTTTGGTGGGAGAGGGCTAAGTAAAATAATCAGTATTTGATTCAAACTGTTTCCCCTTGTATCAGGTAATCTTAAGTGTAATCTCTGCTCAATACAGTAGGTACAACTGATGTTTTTCACTTTGTACTGTATTTTGTAATCCGGTGTATACTGAGAATGGCTTGTCAAATTTCATAGATAAAATACATCAAAATTTAATATCTTTAGTAAATGGTAATGCTTTTACAGAAACAAATTATGTTATATTACATTACTTTAGTAAGCAGCTTGGAGAATTTAGTTTTCACTTTATATACATTATGTTGAAGGTATGAGCCTAGTTAGTTTGATGTATTTATTTAGTTATAACTCCAGGGAGGTAAGAAGAAGCACAATACTTCTTAGTAATATGTATTGTACTGTACTAAAATAATACTGAGATAAGAAAGGTAATATATTTTTATCTTATCCTTAGTAATTAAAATGGTACTCACATATATGTATTGCACTGTATACATGTTTGTAAATGTATTGTAATCCTAATATAATTTGTGATATCAAAACCAACTGTGTTTTTTACTGTCATGATGATTTGATGATTTGATTGTCGTGATTTTACCTTATTTTCCTATAAGTTTACAGTTTTTATGTATTTATACTAACTCACAAGATTATAATTTTTACTTACTTTTAAACCATCATTTAATGGCCTTAGTATGGAAATGTAGATAAAACTATCTATACACTCAATCCAACCGTTTACTGTAGTTAATTTTAACATAAATCGCAGTTAAATATATTATACCTAACCCAGAATATTATCATATATAAAACATACTCTTACTCTATGATATTATACTCACAGATAAGTTTATTTACTTCTCCGTGTTGTACTCTATGTGGTGGAGGCGCCAAGCCACGTGATAGACGATATTTGCCGCCAATTTGACTGCTCTAGGCTAACTACCACTCTACCACTACTACTAAATTATTTTTGTTCTCCAGATGGGTACAAAAGTTTTGTGGAAGAATGAAATCATTTTTGTTTAGTTTTTTTTCTTTAGCAAATTTCACATATAGGGAATAAGCTATTACCGTAGGTCTCCTGGTAAGACCAAGACCCGGGACCGATTTTCTTTTTTGTTTTGAGGTCCCCAGAGGCCAAAAACACCATCCGTTCAAATTCATATATATAAATATTTATATGTATTTGAGGCCTGTATATTTATATTAAACTATAGCGAAAATGATCTGATTTTGATAAAATTTGCTACAAACGTGTAAACCTACGTTTATTTGAACGAGTTCGCGAACCAGCAAAATCGGACCAAGGGAACGGGGGTTTATGGAGGGATTTATGGAGTGAAAATGGGTTTTGCCCATTTTTGACCCTAAAAAAAAAAAAAAATTTTCAATTTCTTTCTAAACCATTTTGTAGAGTTAAAAAAGATATATTTTAGTGTATTGAAGTGCTGTTGTATGCCTAAGGGTTACGGAGAGAATTAAAAAGAAGTGTAATTTAAAATTCCCATGTTACTCTTATGGAGAAAGTGAAAACTGTTGTAGCTTACTTATTTATCGGTATATCTTGATAAAATTTATCAAATATATTTATTTCATCCTATACTATTGACGTCATGTTTTAACTTCCTCGTAGCAGCAAACCTAAGCACTCGTTACATCTAATGTTATTTAAATTGGTGATAAATAGGTCTTATTTATGGCAATACTAGCTGTTGTACCCGTGCTTTGCAACGGGAAGAGGACACAAAATACAAACATTTTGATCTTTACATTTGTTGTATAAAATAGTTACACAGTGGCCTATGCCACTTTTAGAAAAAAAAATTCGGCTGCACTTTAGTATCTGTCCAACAATCATTCCAATGAAAAATATCGGTATAGGCTATAGATTATTCGATATATTCATTTAAATTAATAGTACTGTACCCTGTCGGTAAAGTTTATAACTTGTTAATGCTATTTAATATCAGAGAACCGACTTGTGTATTTGAAACAGCTGACGAAATTCTTTTATTCCAGTATTTTTCGCGTTTACTTGTCACAAACATACCAACTTCTAAACATCCAAACTTTCTCACTTATAATATTTGTAGTATTTAGTAACAATGGAATCAGACGAGTTGAAATTCGCTGAGCTGCGGCGAGGGTTTTTTATTTGTATTACAAAAATTGCAACAGCTTGGCCTCACCAATTTTAAAAACTTGATGGTAAGATCCAACTGATGCATAAAGATGATAAACTAAAAGTTTACATCTTTTTATTTTTTTTTAAGACAAATATTCCTAAATATACTATTTCTACGACGGTTTGTGGCAGACACTTTAACTTGAAACAAAGTAATTGGCAGCACACTAAAAAATCTAAATGTAATGACATAAGTAACTGCTTTGTAATCTACGGAATACTATTTTGATCGCTTGTATATTTGGTCCTCTTTGCTTTTCATGGTTTGTAGACCATGTTTGCACTGTTTTTGAACTTCAGAGGCAGTGCCGAGCTGAGCTGATTGAGGGGAAAAAACACGAGAAGTCATTTGAACGTAACCTCTCCTCACTGTGAAACTCCCATGCATGCATTCTCACAAAGCAGAGAAAAATAAAAATAATTATAATGATAATGCGGCAAAACCTGTTTTTCTTCCCTATAAAATATTTATATTTATTTCTTGTTATTGTGTGTTCAAACTGAACACTGATGTAGCCCACTGGACACACTAGTGTCAAGTAACACTATAGTGATAAAGAATACACTATTTTATTTATACAATTTAATTTTAATTTTTAGTGAGTCGGTGGCTCAGTCGGTAGCGTCGCGGACTTCGGGCCCAAGGCAGCGATGTCGTGGGTTCGGATCCTGGTCACTGCCGATAACATTTTATCAGTACAGTTCACCTTTGTACTGTACCGGCTCACTCCTTGCTTTGCTGTTAACGATCCACGCACGGGCGCTTAGTCTATGTGGACGGGCAAATGCAAGGTTAAAAGAGGCCGCCAACCTCTTAAAAAAAAAAAAAAAAAAAATTATTTCTTTTGGCTGAAACAGTGAATAATAAAGTTTGTCCATGAATTGTAACTTTGCCTCACTGTATTACTGTATCCGGCATATAATTTTTGTGTTTTAGTGTAGAAATTTAATTCACTTTTATTACTTGGCGGGTAGTAGGGCGGTCTGCGGCTACTTACACGGGTCGCTGGTTTAATATCCGCTACTTTAATAGCCGTCCTCTGCCCCAAACGCCAAGCAACTTTTGCATCATTTAAAGCATTTTTTCCAATTTTTTATTAGGCCTAAAATACATTTTTAATTACATCATTTTATGAGTGTAAATGTTTTTCAATATGCGATTTTTATTAAGACTTTTTAATGAATGCTTCACTATTCTTGTAGGTAAAGTAAAAAGATTCCGTCTTGGAGTTCCAGGTCCAAATCCTGTCAATCGCCAAATATTTGTATCGACACGGTAATACTGTTTCAACCTTGCTTTCTCAATTTGGGTTGTTCTTAATCTGTGGCCTACCAAACTAGGAGAGGAACCAGTGATAAGTACGTAAGGCAATGGGAACTATATCTGACTTGAAGAATTCCTTTCATTAAAAGTCATTGTGGTCATTTTATTTAATTTAGTTGAAAGAACCTCAACTTTGAAGTGTAAGCTTGGCGTTAATGACAGAAATTTCTATATCACGAATTAATTAATTTACCCCATAGAAGATTGTGAAATGTCATTACTAAATATTGAATACAAAAAGCTACTAACCTATCATGTTTAGACGATGTAATAATAGTACCTGGGGACCGAGCTTTGCTCGGGGAAATTTATTACTTTACTCTGAAAAGTATTGCAGATACATTAATCCACTCCCAATCTCCACACTGCTAACCTTCACTACTTACTTCACCACTCCCTACGTCGTGGACCTGTTTGCCCTCCTTCCCTATACCATTTTAGAATTGCAGATACATAAATTCCACAGATAGTTCCCACACTCTGCACTGCTAGCATTACTACTTCCTACACCATTTCCTACGTCATGGACCTGTTTTCCTCTCCTCCCTTCTCGTAGCATTTTAGGATTGTAGATACCTTAATGTAGTTCCCATAAACAGTTCCCAGGCTCCAGACTGCTCGCCTTTACTACTTCCTTCACCACTTCCTACGTCGCGGACCTGTTTCTTCCCCTTCCAATGGCATTTTAGGATTGCAGATACCCTAATCTAATCGTCATTAACAGTTCCAACACTCCGGGCTGCTTGCCTTTACCTCTTGCCTTTCCTTCACCTCTTCCTACGTCGCAGACCTGTTTCCCTCCATTCCCATAGCATTTTAGGATTGTAGATACCTTAATCTAATCTTCATAAACATTTCCCACACTCCGGACTGCTCACCTTTACTACTTCCTTCACCACTTCCTATGTCGCAGACCTCTTTCCATCCCTTCCCATAGGATTTTAGGATTGTTGATTCTTTAATCT